TAATGCAATTTAAGCAAATATAATGTATTGGTGATTATGAGAGGAGGGAGTTGGTAAAAGAATTGGAGATAAACTATGGACAGTAAAAGTGGAAGATGAAATAACATACACCTTTGATAATTCAGGAAGATGGAATAAATATAAGGCTAAATTAAGAGTGAAAGATACCAATTCTTCAGTGAATGTAGGAATTTTTATGCAAGAATACCAAATGGCAAATGTCTGTTGGATGTTCATTGGATCCAGAATGGCATTTGGTGTCCTCGATGGTAGGTATAATGTTGTCGACAGAATTTATTGCAGATTTTGTAAAAAAAAAAATATATAAGGTACGCCGAGATCAAGATTTGTAGTAAGTGGTGTGACGGAATTGAAGTTGAGAGGAGACGAAAGGAGTGGTAAGTATTATGCACAATCGAAAAGTGCTGAATAAGATTTTTTAACATGAAGATCCCCAAGGCGATGGGTGGACCACGTAGAAGAGAAATCTAATCTGCCGCTGGACCTCCTACTCAGAGAAGTAGAAGATCGGGACCGATGGAGACAGATCGTGGAACGTGTCTACTGATGGGTCACCAATTTTCAACATCGAAAGCCGGACTAATGATTATGACTCACGATTCAGTTAAAAGGATGTCGTGAGTTGCAAATGACATAAACTTTTTAAAGTTGGACAAAAAAAAATTGAAGGAAGGAAAGAAAGGAAAAACAATTATCATAACGGGTTAGTGGTTGTACTTAACTGGGCTTTTTTTTTTTGGCAGGGCCTGAGCAAAACCACGAAAAACCTTTTGGGGATTATCGTCTGATGGCCAATATTCGAACCCGAGACCTCCCGTATACGGTATAGGGTTCCTAAACACCAGACTATATAACGTTTGACCTTTTCATTTTAACCCTTTAAATAAAATTAGTATCTATATATAAAATTTGTTTTAACATTAAGTTTCAATGCATTTTACCAGCAGTGTAGTTGCGGGTTTAGTACGAATCTCAGAACAAACAGCGGTCATGTTTTTAAACAGCATTAACTAAATTATATTTGTAATGGAGACGATTTGCGTTTTCTTTGCGGTACGTAATGAACTTTTAAATTATCGCTTTCTCTCTGTCATACAAACTGTGTTGTTGTTAACAGTCGATAAATAAACTGCCAGTCTATATAACTAATGCTCAGAGCGTCTGGGAGACTTTAAAGTTCCTCTTCTCAATAGCTTTGATACGCTAAAGCGCCTTAATCCTGGGATGGATGATGGATTAATAACTTTAAAAGGGCCACGATCGTTTGTTTCCTTGGGATTAATCTCGTTATTACACGCAATGTAACCTATAAACTTAGCAAAGACGTTGATAAATAATACAAAAATCAAATTATTGAACTATGACACCGAATAACGGATCGTTAGATAGAATAACAGCATCATAATAAATGCATTTGATGAAACGTAAAATAAATAATAATAAATTAGGTAATATCTATAAATAAAATATTAAAATAATATTTTTCTGATACCGTATAAAATTTCAGACTACGTATTGAAAGTGCTGTAGACTTAAAGATGTTTATTTTACAATAGACCCTGTTCTGAGTACATCATAGACGTACATTAACACTTCTACGTGGATGCGGTTAAGTAATCCGTATAAACCTAGTCTTTTACTTACGAAAAAAAAAATTGAAAGGATTTATATTGGCTCGTCTAGTGGAAAAGCTGTTCTACGTTGGCTCGCTGGCAGGAAGTGGTGTTCAATGGAAGACTATTTTTCATATTGATCTATACAGTTTTTCTCCCTGACTGGTATTATGGGGCGAACTATTTGTATTGTGTCCCACACTCAACAACAATTTATAGTGGAGATGTGAAGGCATATCGACTTGCTACTAGTAACATACATAGAATCTTAGCTCCATATCCTAATAATTAATGTAGGTAGTATTACTTTTCCTAGTATAAAAGGTTTTAAACAGAAGAACCAAGCTGACGCTTTTAGTAGCATATCTAAACTTTTGCGTAATCACATATAGGCCTATTATTTAAATTATAAACGCGATGTAAGGTTATATATCGTGTAAATGGATCTCTTTAATGTGAATAAAACATATAACTGAGACATGCTGTAATAGACTAACTATGCTACACGTAATCTGTTCATGAAGTTTCAAATTTAAAAGCCCCCATTCGTGGCTCGCTAAATACGGTATTTAAATTTGTATCTTTTTGGTTTATCGCAAATGAATGTTTTTAATTAAATTGAATTATTCAAATGTTATAACAGAACGGAAAATAAACAAATTATGAAACCGGTTGAGAGAAATATTTAAAAAAAAAATTGGCTAACTTTAAATTTGGATCCTGATTCTAAAATTAATTCCACGAAGCAGATTCTTTCCTGAGAAATTACTTGTCACTCTGATATTCAAGAAATTCACAGCTATTTATTCATAGAACCGGAATATTTATTACCCTATCCGCAACAGCCCACCCCTGATCCCTAGCCTAAGCCAGATTAATCCCATTCACATCCTTGCACCCTCTTATCTTGACGTACGTTTTAATATTATCCTTGCATCTATGTCTAGGTCCCCTAAGTTGTCTCTTCGTTTCCCTATGTAATTATTTCTGTTCTGTTGTTTAATTTTCGTCGTTCGGAAGCAAGGATATTTGCAGTAACAGAATTTAAATTAATGAGTTTATCTACACACACATGTGCATGGGCGAAGCTTTCATGTTATCCGTGTTAGCTGGGCTAACACGGTTAACATGAAAGCTCAACCCTTGCAAAACCATCTTATGCCTTTATTTATAAGCCGATAAATCATTCACTGATTTCGTCAACAGTAATGATTAATTTGTGAAACCGAAGCGCTAGGCTCCTATCGCCCTGAAATACGCTAATTTATGGTCGTTCAAATTATTGTGATATAGGCCTACATATTTCTTGAAAGCTCGTGGGTCTATTTTAAAACTTAAAAATTGCCGGTTCCGAATAATTCTTAATGCTCAGATGGAGCAGTGGGCCGCTGAATATTCTGTAATGAAACATCAGAATTAGAATTGTTGAAGTAAAGAATGTGAAATATAATTTAATAACGAAAACCCTGGAGACCAATATAAGAATTAAAATATTAATTGAGACGATACTTGTGAATCTTATTTAAGATTGTGAATAAGAATATTCTTTATTGATTTGTTCACCGATACCTTAATGTTTTTTGACTTATGAGTCAGTCCACAGGGATTCACGTAGCCTAATTACACTCTTAGTAACTTTACGGACCTTAACTTGAATTAAAAATTTAAAAAAATACAGTACTTCACAAAGAATTATCAGTAATATCAAAATAAACATTCCCTATGTAAGAAATTTGTAGGCGTATCGTGAATGAGAGATTTCATGACTTTTTCAGCTTCAAAATTTTACGTCGCTAAATCTCTGATTACTACTAAATTTTTTGGAATAACTTTACAGAATGGCGACCCACGTGGAATTCGGATTTTGTGTATCGTGAAACTATGTAGTTTTCTATGTGGTTACCAAGTTCTCGGATGAACATATCGTCTCCATCGTCATGGTATGAGTGAGATAGGTGTGATAAGTGGTTAACCACCTACAAGATTACAAACCTTAACACTGTATTTGTTTATTATGTGGGTAATTCTAACCTCTCTGAATGTCTGTTGTATTTACAGCGTCTTGCAAGAATATTTATTGAGCTCATTTCCCTCTTTGATAGAAAGCTATTTCTCAGTTCTTACATTATAAAGATTAGTCCTACTTCTAAGTGCTTTGAATTCATTTTGTTTCGACATATGTCGTAATCATCTTCAGGTTCCTTATTATTCCTAATAAAAATAAAAACTGGTATCACAACCTCAGAAATCCTCAAATGTCTCCCTCTGGATTCCTATAGTTTTACAGTTATTAGACATAAACATAAACTTACATAGCCTTTCACTAAACTCTTATCAGTTTATTTGGGGTTATTAATAATGAAACCCTTAGGAGAGCCGATAACACAACATATTGTCATTGTTCTAACATGCATCAGAATTACAAAAACTTCTTTAACGTAGATATGTTAAACCATAGGAGAAGACAATTAACTAACTATCGGTCCTCCACATTAAAAAAGACTCGTTGTTGAAACTATTAAAATATAAAATGATGGCTTTACGCGTAAAGAATTGTTAAAATTATAAGTTAAATTTAATCTCTGATTAATATCAGTTTATACGCTGTACGTATTTAATGGTAATTTGACAGACGTTAAAACATTCGTGACTCTGCACATTTACGTGTGATTATCATAGCAAAATCTGTTGTTGGAGATTATTATCTGTGGAACGAGAATGGGACTGTTGTGCGTTATCCTAAGCGTTCTTTCTCGATTCCTATAATCTGTTTGGACACTGAAGAATGTTGCTGCTTCGGATATATTTATCCTTATATATCTACGTTTCTTCTACGCCTCTAGAATACATTTTATTATTTTATTATTTCTTAATATTCTATGCTATATTATTATTATTTAAATTCGTAACTTACTTACATTGACGTTTTAACACGTGCATTTATTAATTTGACTTTTTTTATGATGTATATGTTTTGAGGAATACATTTCCAAGTAACATTTCAGGTTCTGACGACAGCGATAATTAAGATGACTGACCTCTGAGTGGTTGAGTCGTGTAGTCTTGTAGCAGATTAACGTTATTTTAAGAGATGTTTTCTGTGTCCATCGTCAGGGCGATGATGGAATCAGGAAATACCTCTGAAACTTCATTCAACTTCTACCAAACAACACAGCGCAACAACCCAGAAGATTTCTTTTTAATGTTGATTCACTTACTGAAGTACAATATCAGTGTCGTTCTTATCCATATGGCGCAAAACCCAGACTCGCAATGTCTACCACTGTGTCCCCCCAGACAGAATTCCTCCATTCGCGAAGCCCTAAACGCCGCGGACTCATTCACTCTGAGATGAGGGCGACTTACCGAAGGGTTTGGCATACATCTCCGCATGGGATCCGGTGAGCGGTATGTGGGCGAGTATCGGCCAGGAAAGCACGAACTCGGGGCGCTGATCGGCGGATGTAACGACGGCTTCCCGTTCATCATCTTCTCCGGCGAATACATGGCGACAGTGTCCACTACAAGGATAACAGTCTAGAGTGTTGAGTTCAGCCCTGGACTAACTCCACGCCACCACGACGCACAGTTGGATCCAACAACAACATAATTGCCACCAACAAAACTCAGCGACGGTAAATAATGTCCTGTTTGTTCCTTCAACCCGACTTCGTACACTGTGAAATTTCCGTACAATGGACGCGTTATTTTGGGGCGACGAGCGACGGGGCGGTTTCAAGATGGGGACGGAAGAGGAAGGGTGCTTTCCGTGACGTCACGTGGGTATTGAAATTCTGGAACGCATGCGTTGACCCTCCCACTCCAGCAGCCATTCCATGAAGCTAAAAACCTATAGGCTTTACTCCAGTGCCGTATATGCTGGAGGGTTGGCTTGAATTATGATGGGATGGGGGAGGTTACGAAACGCTATCATCCCTTCCCTCAGTGCACCCTCTCATACACAATTATTCCACTCAACCTCATTCAGATGCTTTTGAAAATTTAATTGAACATTTGATTTGACCTGGCACTTTCTACTTTAATTGATATTTATTTTTCCATACGATCGCATTGTAGACAGTACGTGGACTCCGCGCTGGTTGCAACGTTATTTATGGATTTATTATGAGGTAACGACGTGTTGTTTTGGCAGCGGCACACGGCTCAGATATCCACTGGCCCTCTCAGTTCCACCCCGTCCTTACATCCCAAATCACTCGCTCTCCATTTGAATTCCAATACACGTCTGAAGTTTCCAGGTCTTAAACAGCGTTCCTTTACAGCCAAGGATGAACTTTGAAGACGAAAACAGGTACTGATACGCGGCGTAAGATGCAGATAGCGGTCTGCTTTCAGCTCCGACCTCTTTACTCTCTGTATATAAGGCTGATTGAACTCCAGACTCGGCCAATATTTAGTAGAGAACAGAAACGTCCCTGAAATTGAAAATTAAGTACAGAAATATAAGAATTATAGAAAAATAGTTTTCTCGTGTTATAAGTTACGTCTTAACAAGATTTTGTCGTAGTGCAATTCTTTCCTTAAACAGCATTAAATAGCTTATCTTTCTAATGGTGAAGTTAGGTGTTTTCTTTGTGGTACGGACTGGATCTTTAAATATTTTTAGACGGGCTTCGGTTTCAAAGGGTTATTCAGTGTACATTTCGCAAACTTCAGTGATTTTTTTTTTTTTTTTGAGAACTGTTCTAAACACTTTTAATACGTGCAGTCTTTATCAGTTTTACGACAGTCAAATGAAAGCAACTTCCATCAGTTACTATGGTAGCCATCACGAAATCGCAAATATTTCAAGGTCATAGTAATTTTTTTGAAGACAGGCTCCAGAATATTGTTCCATTGGACACGATCCTGAGACAGTTCCTGTTCCCATAACCCATTCTCCGTAAAAACCATTTTAATATTATATCACCGACTACTTTTATCTCTCAGTCTCTGGTTATTAGACATGCAGCATGCAATCAGACGCAATCATATCTCACAGGATTGAGACAGATTTTATGTTTGTTAACGCTAGAGCAGGTAAAGACTATTATAACACATATTATTATGTCACTTAATAGGCCTAATGTTGTGTGTCTTCGTATCAGAAAGAAATATGCATAATCCCTGTTATATTACGACTCAAAACTTTTGAAAGGGACGGAGTTGGCTATAACATTGCTCCCTACATTAGAGCTGTATTTTAGTTTGGTTTTGACCGAGAGTTCTCAGTCCGCGGCCCGGCTGTGTGTTTTTAAAGAAGGATTTCAAATAAATAAATACTGTTTATCGTAGTACTGACAACGTGGGTTACTGTCAATTCGCAGAAATTTTTATTACATCTGATATTCTCAAGCAAGAACAACTGCAGATACACCTGATAACTTATTTTGTCACAGAAAATCATTTAGAAGCGCGAATCTGCTTGTTAGCGTTTTAATACAAACTGTCATGACATTTCTGTAAATTTCGTATTTTTATGAAACTTTGTGGCCTGCTATTTGGCAAAGCATAAGTGTGGTTCCAAGTCCTTGGATCTTAGAGCGAGAAGACGTTCATGGCGATTTCATAACATCTTTTTCTTGTGAGAAAGTAATTAAAAGAATAATGGATATATGTAGAAATAAAAATTAAAAACGGATGAAAGAAAGATACATTCTCACTCAAAGAGTGATGCCAAAACTTGTCTGATGCTTTGGGTCGTAATATCTTAGTGACCAGAAGCATCAAACGTCTGTCTGCACATTTGTGTAAGAGTTTCATTTTGTAATATGTGAATTATTGAAGCCTCCAAGTGGCAATATTTTATATAATTTCTCTCCTCATTCCATTTCTCACCGCGAGAGGCCCCTGGATGTGGTCAGATCAGCTGTGGTCAGCGGTCACTCGGCAGGTGCATTTACATACTCACTGGGTTATTTGGTTTATCAAAAATACGCGTGGGAGAACGAGAAAACAGAATACATTTTGGTGATTAATAAAAATCAACCTCAAACAATAGGCCCTGCATCTAACATTCGCTGGGTGTATAGATTAATACAGGCAGGATACTCCATTATTAATCGTTTGTTTAGGCTTCACATCCGATAAAATGGATATACACAAAATGAAAATTAAAAAAAAAAATTAGCTTGCTCAAAAAATAGTCCACAATTTGTGTAAATAAAGAACTTCAAGTAGATAGATGGGTCCATCAATGATTTGTGGGCCCCTGCCATTTGTATATATTTGCCCGAAAGCCACTCAAGGGTTTGTGCAGTACAATGGAAATATCATCATCACGGGTTCTACAGCCTATTACAAGCCTTGACCGTCCCAGTATAATGGAAACAGGCGGCCGAATATTGAATATTGAATATCGGGGGCCTACTATTGAAGTCTGTGTTTCGAACCTTACATTCTCAAGTTGGGCTCCAGACAGAAATGAAGGGTTATTGTCACTCAACCGCTACGGTGGTCTAGCGGTCAGAACACTAGCCTTGTAAGCCTGGGGTACCGGGTTCAATTCCCGGTGGTGCTCAAATTTATAACTTGTGTTGGGCAAGGCCGTGGTCTAGGCAACACGGAGTTTTCCTCCGTGGCATCCCAACAATTACTCCATTCACACACAGAAGAAGGCAATGGCAAACACCTTCTGGATCATCTGCCAAGAACGTGTATGAACAGGTCCCAGTCCGAGAAAAGGATGGGAGGATCCTGTTCATATGGACCTGTCGTCAGACAGAACACTAAATAATAATAAGATGAGGTGGTCTAGGCAACACGGAGTTTTCGTCCGTGGCATCCCAACAATTACTCCCTTCACACACAGAAGAAGGCAATGGCAAATCACTTCTGGATCATCTGCCAAGAACGTATATGAACAGGTCCCAGTCCGAGAAAAGGATGGAAGGATCCTGTTCATATGGACCTGTCGTCAGACAGAACACTAAAAATAAAAAAATAGTGTCACTCACTAGTGGCCCAACTCCTGTATAGAATTTATATTAATTAAATATATTAATTATTATTGAATCAGCTAGTATCTAGTTAAAGTTACCAGGGTCTAAGCAGATAATTTATTTACTTATAGTTAAGTCAATATATTGTTACTCAGCTACTGAATTTTCTTTAGTTAGTTCGGTTGTTTTAATTGGCTGGTTAATCGGTTTGTTAATTTCGTTAGTTTAATTCGTTAAATGGATACCAGGTCTTAGTTGTTGTTTTTTTTTTTAAAAAATTATTGCTTTGTGTAGGAGGAAACTTTTCTGCCCTTTCTTATTAATTATATTTTGCCACAAGCTGAAATTATTTGAGTTTCGTTTTCCTTGGCTGCTAAACAGTTTGTGTTGGCCATTAATACAGCTTCATCCTCTTACCCTTGTGGCGCTCCTGTTACCGGCGGAGTGATTTGGAAGACGACACGACGTCCGTATTGTTCAGAAACAAGAAAATGTCAGCCATGCTACGAACTACTCGTCTTTTGAAGATGGATGTGTCAACAAACTATTTCATACGCCTTAATACATTTAAGTTTCACAGCAAATATTCCATGTAATACTACAGCGCAAGTTATTTTGAGAGTTAATAGGATTTGAAGTTTTCAAGGCGGTGAGTCCGAAAATGGCTGACTTCTGGGTTGTCGCGCCGTGTAGTCTGGTGGAAGTTTACTGACGTTTCGGAGGTGGTTACTGCTTCCATCATCAGGGCATCAACCCAGAAGACAGCCATCTTTTTCGCGAGACGTTTTCTTTGTGTCCTGAACAAATGTCAAACGCCAGTGTGACCCTTTGAAGCCGAAGCTCGTCTAAGTAACATTTAATATAATTCAGTCCGTACCGCGAAGAAAACACTGCACTTCACCATTACAAAGATCAACCGAGTAGGATCTGAGGTTTTCAAGGCGGTGAGTCCGAAGATGGCTGACTTCTGGGTTGTTGGTAGAAGTTTACCGACGTTTCAGAGGTCCTTACGTTAAGTCATCGTCCTGATGATGGAGGCAGCAAGGACCTCTGAAGATAGCCCCATCCAAATACCGTCGGAAAACGGCAGTCAGTAGACGTCGTTCACTAAGGCAAGATCACGTAAAGCGACTTTAAACCCGTGGTGTCAGGTTCGCCGGTTATAAACGCAGAGGTTGTCATGTCTCTAAAGTGCACAAAGCCCGCTGGAGTGCGGGGGACACGTGACACAGTTGTTTGCTATTGTTCCTTAATCAGCAGACGTAATGCCGCATGATTCACGTGGACAGGATTGGGTTAACGTGGCGGACACGTGCCGAACTCGAGGGTACGACATAGAGGAGTCCTGTCGCACTTGGACGCGTGCGGAAATGATTACGGTGGATGGCAAGACACAGGTAGGTCCGGAGACTGACAAGTGTCTTTACTCTCGATTTGTTGCTCATTGAAATGAAACAATCCTAGAAGTATTGGAGGTTTCACCATTGAAGATGTTTGGCACGGTGAGCCATGACAGTTCGCAGGTGCGTTGAAGCTGGTGACTGACTTGCTTAAAAGAAGTGTTCGTTTGAGTGTCTAGCGGTGGACCACGTGCGTCTCAGTGTAGTATCGCCTACTTTTTTAAAACACGCCCTTCACTAATTTCCACGTGTAGTTTTCCTTACAGAAATGTCTGTGGTGTAAGAACACGATTTAAGCAAAATTAAAGTAACTACTCATGAGATGGT